ATGTTGCTTAAATGAACATGTTTTTCACAAATTTTCCTTCATCTTCTCCATCATAAATCCCCATTTGAGGTTCTCTTTTCGCAAACCCCATCTTATGACCACTTCCGCGTCTTTGGTTGTCTGGCATATGCCACCTCTGTCACTCCCACCACCAAATTTTCCCCTCGGGCTCATCGTTGCATTTTTCTCGGTTATCCTCATGGACAAAAGGCCTATACCCTTTACGATCTCGACAATCACCGCATTTTCACTAGTCGAGACGTCATCTTTCACGAAACTACTTTCCCTTATGCCGTTTCTCACCCTTCTATCTCATCCTCTTCGCCTACCCTACCCATCCCACCCCCTCTGGACTTTACATATAACCCACCCCTTCCTGCCCCGACGCCTCACCCTCCTCCACCTTCCTCCCCTTCCATGCCTCCCACAGATTCCCTTGCTGCCCCATTACCCGTTCCTCCCCATGCCCCTTTACCCACGGACATCCCTACCCCCCCACTACCTACCAATCCTCCCCTTCCCCGCACCTCTTCCCGTGCTCATAAACCTCCATCCTATTTAAAAGACTACGTTTGCTCACAGGTGATTCTGCCATCCCACCCATCTTCGACTTTGCAACCCAGTTCTACACAAGGTACGCGATATCCACTTTGTAATTTTCTCTCTTATCACCGTTACTCTCCCAGGCATTTTTCTTACATTAACTCTGTCAGTCGGACTGTGAAGCCTTCCTCATTTGCCGAGGCTGCCACTGACCCCAATTGGTAATGTGCTATGACTGAGGAGCTTCAAGCTTTACATGCTAATGGTACTTGGACTTTAACTTCCTTGCCCCCTGGCAAAATTCCCATTGGTTGTAAGTGGGTGTACAAACTCAAGCACAATTCCGACGGCTCTATTGACCGCTACAAAGCTCGTTTGGTTGCTAAAGGCTTCACTCAGGCTGAAGGTATTGATTATCATGACACTTTTTCTGCTACTGCTAAGATGATTACGGTGCGTTGTCTTCTTGCTCTTGCTGCTAGTCAGTCTTGGTCTCTTCATCAGCTTGATGTTAATAATGTTTTCTTACATGGTGACTTACATGAAGAAATCTATATGTCTCCTCCTCCTGGTCTTCGGCGACAGGGGGAGAATCTTGTGTGTCGCCTTCACAAGTCACTTTATGGTCTTAAGCAGGCTTCTCGCCAATGGTTTGCCAAATTCACTAGTGCCATCATTTCTGCCGGTTTTCAACAATCCAAAGCTGACTATTCATTGTTCACTAAAAAGTCTGGTATTTCTTTCACAGCTTTGCTCATTTATGTGGATGATATTGTGATTACAGGCAATGATGCTAGTGCCATTAATTCTCTGAAGTCTTTTCTCCGTGATCATTTTCGGATAAAAGACCTTGGTGATTTAAAATATTTTTTGGGTATTGAGGTTTCTCGTTCCAAACAAGGGATTTATATTTCTCAACGCAAGTATGCATTAGAGATTCTCAAGGACTATGGTTTTTTGGGAGCACGACCCATTGCTTTTCCTATGGATGACACAAAATTATCTGATAAAGGAGAACTTCTCAAGGATCCTGAAAAGTATCGACGATTAGTAGGTCGGTTAATATATCTCACTATCACTCGGCCGGATATCACCTATTATGTGCATGTTCTAAGCCGTTTTATGCACGAGCCAAGGATATCTCATATGGATGCTGCGCTTCGTATTGTTCGTTATTTGAAGGCTACTCCAGGTCAAGGTTTATTATTTCGTTCTGACAACCAGACCAAGTTAACTGCGTTTTGTGATTCTGATTGGGCAGGTTGCCCTATCACTCACCGTTCGACTACTGGGTATTGTGTATTCTTGGGCGGTTCTTTGATTTCTTGGCAGACGAAACGACAGAAAACCGTTTCGCTCTCTTCAGCAGAGGCGGAATATAGGGCCATGGCAGGTGCTTGTTGCGAGATAGTTTGGCTTCGTTTTTTGTTGAAGGATTTGAACATTCCTTTGGATGGTCCTTCCATTTTATTTTGTGATAATCAAGCAGCGTTACATATAGCTGCCAATCCTGTTTTTCATGAACGAACTCGTCACATTGAGATGGATTGTCACTTTATACGAGATAAGATTGTAGATGGCACAATAGAGACCAAGCATGTGGGTACGGCACAACAGTTGGCAGACTTGTTTACCAAACCTCTTGGGAAAGAAAAGTTTTCGGGTATGTTACGCAAGTTGGGAGTTCTTGACATCCACTCTCCAACTTGAGGGGGAGTGTTAGACAAATAAGGAATATAGTTGGAGTCCTTGTGTAATTGTATATAATATTATTCACTAGCCGTCCTACAGCCGTCAAGCCGTCCTACCTTGTCCTACCTACACACTAGCCGTCTTACAGCCGTCAAGTCGTCCTACAGCCGTCCTACCTTGTCCTACCTATACACTAGCCGTCCTACAGCCGTCCTACCTTGTCCTACCTACACACTAGGACGGCTACCTTGTCCTACCTACACACTTGTATCATGTATATATATATCCTTGTAATCTTGTAGAGAAAGATAATGGGAAAAAAAGCATTCTCTTCCATTTGCATTCTCTTCCATTTTTTTCCACATTCACGTATCAATAACAAATATATTTTTTAGCCTACATACCTTTTTCTACACATATATGATGCTTTTAACCTAACAATAAATAGATTTAGCCCCAAGTTGCGAAAAGAAAAAAAAAAATGTTTTGTAATGCATTCAACTAGTTTAGGCTAGTTGCAGTCCAAGGCTCCTTGTGAGATCAAGCTTACTTCTGAAAATAACTTGTATAAGTTATAAGTAGTATGACAACATTTTGTGTCAAGAGTAGAAGAATATGTGCTAATGCTTTTTACTTGTCTTTGTATTACCCGCATGGAACACCACTATGCCGGTGTAGCTATGCCATAAAAGTTGATTTCAACTTCTTAACCCGTTACTTGGACATGTAGTATTGGGTAACCACGCATGCATTTTATATGTGTTAATTAATTTGTGCCACTTGATATTTGGTTTTGGTCATCTTTTCTGGCATTTGATTATATGTTTTTGCTCATGTTTTGTTCCCCCAAACAATCCCCTTGAAATGTTGGACCCTCACTAATTATAAATTATAAGACTGAAGAATGATAATATTGGTGGTAATGGTCTATGCATCATTCTTCTTAACTAATTTGTGCCACTTGATTATTTGTTTTTGCTTATCTTTTATTCCCCCAATCATGTTCATGTACCTTGAAAACTTGGTCACTAATTATTATATATTGGTAGCCCTGCATATTGTATATTTTATACGTATATATAATTATACACCATATTCAAATCAACTAACTCAATTCTCAAACAACCTTCCACTATAATTCCAACATACTACTACTTGTGATCATTGATCATCAGTTAATTTTGACGCGCTTGAGCACCGTCAACCATCCTCTCTCTTTAATTATAGTCTCCCAAAAACATATAAAATCAAAAATAATTCCCTTCAGTTAGTTATGATAAGTTGTGCAGTTCTGGACTAATCAGCAAGTTCTTCAAATTTAATTAATTAATTAAGAAATGACAATTAAAAACGTGACAGATATTCTTAGTTGTTATAATAAGTAGATAATATACTTTTCAACATATTGCAAGCTAGCTCTAATCTTCTCGATCGTGGGATGACTCAATGCCACTGCATATATATGATGTATATAAAACCGGGTGCAAAATAGAACCCACCACCTTTGCCGTTGTATCATGCTAACTAAATAACGAATGTCCTAGTGGCCTGGAATGGGAGCGTTTTATGCATGCATGGACCACTGGACACCGAATCTCTTACTTATTTTCGAATTAATGTTGTATCAAATTTAAAAAGTCAATGCCCATGAATAATTATTTGAGCTGGCTACGTCTTGAAACGACAATTTTTTCACCCCCCACCTTCTGTCAAAGATTGTCGTGTCTGGATTCCCAAGCATATGCATGAAGGTTTTACAGCGTTTCTGGATTTCCAAAACCAGGGGAGATGCTCCAAATACAATGCCATCTCTACACAAAATTAACACATTCTAGAGAGACGCAAATTTAAAATGTAAAAATCACATTTGGTTCTTATTTTGCATTTTTGAGAGATGGATGTTGGTTCCACTCCAATGGAGAAAATGCAAATTTTTTTTTATCTCATTTATTTTTCTCTATATAACTCACAGGACACACCTTATATATATATATATATATATATATATATATATATATATATTTACAAGAAGCAATAGATTAATATTTTATTAAAACACTACAAACGAATATAGATGTTCTAATTGGGCATATTATTTTAGTGACCAAAAAATCAATCGGGAGTAAATAAGTTCAAACAAATAAACTTGAGTAACCACTAAAACAGCTATCACATGTGGATTCCACACACACATATATATATATATATATGGATATTTTATATCAATATATTGAAGAGCTTTTCCGGCTAATTAATAAGAAATATAAAATGTTTATTTGAAGGATTTTGTTTTTGTATCACCCATTGAAGATGTTTTACTGAAAGTAATGCGGATGTAATTTAATTGAGAGTAAAAAAAAGAGGTGGATTGTTTGTCATTCCATTTCTATACTCTTTTTATGTCTTTTTGTGATATGTGATCACGGTTAAGCTATGTAAATATTTTATATTAATTTTTTATAGAAATAATAAATAAAAAGTAATAGGAATATAAAATATTGACCTGATTTAACCGTAACTATACAAACATGAAGGTATAAGAAGAGTATGAAAATAGAAGGGCAGAGAATCCAGGGAAAAAAAAAACTAAAAAACATTGGCCATCAGAAATTGATGGAACAGCGTGGCCAGTGTGTCGATACCACGTGGTGTGTCCCCCATTCCAACATGATTGAGCGATATGTACACTGCTGACAGCTCAGCTGTATAGCCTGTATTAGGGTTGACTGCCTGCCCGATCGTTCCATTCATCTAATCTAATCCAACTATTGATCCAATAGTAAGAATTATAATTACTTTGATTAATATTTGATTATCGCTGATTATCTAATAATATCCCCGATCGTGTACCTCCGGCGCTAGCTAGGGTTACCTGTTAACTAATATTTCCCTCTCCTTGCATATAAATATCCCATGCAAGATATAATGCAACCATCAACCTCATCTCCACAAGTCTCAACTCGTATCTCAACTAATACGCAAGTAAAAAAATCATGGTAGGCGTTTTCCGGCGGTCTTTCTCTTTCCCAAACAAAATAAACCCAAACAATCTTCCAAATAACCGTGACCACCGTCCATCAACAGTCCGACCGCCGTTGTCTCGTCACACCAGATCCATCAGTCTTCCAACCAGACCCCACCCCTTCATTTCCCACCTCAAAGAACACATAGCCCGCCTTCAATCCTTCAAATATTCCTATTCCACCACCAACTCCTCCTCTTCCTCCTCAGTCCCCTTCTCCGATTGGCTATGCGAAGGCTTGACCCGCCTCAAAGACTTGCACCACTGCCTCGATGACACTCTCCGCCTTCCCCAAACCCAAGAATCCCTCCGCCGTCTCAAAGGCTGCTGCTCCGTCGATAACCTTCTCGACCAATTCCTCCGTTTCGCCGACATATACGGAATATTCCGCACCTCCGTTTTGGCTCTCAAACAGGATCACTCCGCTGCTCAAGTGGCTTTGAGGAAGAGAAACGACTCCCAGGTAGCATTGTACGTCAAAGCTAGAAAGAGAATGGCCAAGGAAATGATTAAGCTAGTCAACGCACTTCGTTCCATCGCACGGCCAGCACCGGCCGCCGTCACGCCGTTCGAGTACGTTGGCGATGATATTAGTTACTATAACGTTGACCATGAACTGGCGGGTGTTATGAGCGAGGTTGTTCAAGTGACGGTCGCGGTGTCTCTTGCACTTTTTACTGGAGTCGCGGCAGACATATCATTCGGCGGGCCCACAATATCATCATCCAAATCGACTGTCACGTCGTCAATGCGGGCAACGTGGATGGGAATATTCAACATCAAGGCAACGTTAGACAATCAATTATGTACTGATCGTCACGAAAACCCAGTACGAGTTAGTAATAATATTGGAGTTGAGAGCTTGCGTAACTTGAGAAAGAAAGGAGATGAAGAAGTCAAAACAACATTAAAGAAGATGCAGGGATTGGAGGCGTCCATCGCTGGGATTGAAATTTGCTCCGAAACAGTTTTCAGGAGTTTAATCAACGCTAGGGTTTCACTGCTCAACACTCTCACCCTACTCTAAATTATTGTTTACTGCTTGTGTACATTTAATTAAATATATGTCTTCAAATTCTATTATATTTTTTTCCTTTTTACTTTCTATACAAATTAAGTAATGTTCTTGTTGATGTTTTTCTTTCCCATCATTTTATTAATTCTTCTCCGTCGTCGAATTAAATTAATAGAAGACTTGTGTGCAATAGCATAAAGCGTTGGGGTTAATATTGCAGCCGATGATTAACAAGTAAATGTGCTTGATTAACTAACTATTAATTTATTACCGACATTGACAAAAACTCCATGCACGCTTGATGAGAAAGGCAACCAACATGCGTTGTATACATGCGTGGAGAAAGGCAACCAACCTAGCTAGCATGGTTACATGGGAGCCAACCTGGCACGATACGTTATTATCTTAATAATGTTATAATTAATGTCGGGACCGGACTAACTTGTTATTTATCTTCTAATTATACATGCGTTGTATAATTAGAAGAAGAGGGTTTACGAGCAGCCTTGCTTGCTTGGATAGAGGGTTTGATGTGATTCAAGCGGAAACGGATTCTAAGGGGCTTGTGGATATGATCAATTGAACAACACAACCAAACGTCATTATCAAAAGTCTTTGTCTTCAACAGTGTAAAAAAAAAAAAGAAAAAAAAAAGTCTTCTCTTCAACATTAAGTGTGTGCAAATGCAATTGAGGTCGGTAGTAGAGTTTATATTTGCTCCGCAAAGTTGTAATAGAGTAGCACGTCTAGTGACTTCGTTTGTCTCTAGCATAGGTAGCTTTCATACATGAGATTCTTTTGAACTAAAGTGGTTGTTCAATACTCTGGTTTCTAATGTAAATATTGCGATTCAAGTTTAATTATACTTATCTTTCGAAAAAAATTATACATGCGTGCGTTGTATATATATGTATGACATTAGGTATTCTCCATATACTGTCACAGACGCAGCTAATTTTAACTTTAGGCTTAGCATGTTTTTGTTCTCAAACACAACGAGGATTTGTGGTAGAGATATTAGTGGTCCTTAATTATTCCTAATAATACTAGGGAGCTTTTAATTTAAATACCTAATCTCAAACAACTTTAAGCTAAAATATCATATTTTTAGTTTGGGTAATTCTATTTTACTACCTCAAGTTTCACACAAATTACATTTTACCACACTTACTTTTTTTTTCTCACATTCATACCATATAGTTTGATTTTTAGGTCACTTTCATACCTCCATTTGAATATATGTCAACTTAACTGATGACTTGTCGTAACTTTTGCACACCAAATGTAACACACGGAGTACTTGACAAATATAAATAAACATTAAAAAAATTAATAATTAATAAAATCTGGAAAAAACAACTTGCACCTAGCCACCCTCTTCATGCTCACCCTTCCTCCTCATAGATCCCCCTGAACCTGATCGTCCACTCCTTTCTCCTCATTCTCCCCCTTCAAGTATTAGGTATGTAATTTGAATTTAGCTATAATATTAATACGCAGATAGGTAGTGATGGACGGTTGGTGAATGTATGATCATCTAGGAATATAAGGAAAAAAATGTGTTTGAAGATTAACAAAAAGAATGGCAAAACTAGCAGTTAATTTCAATCTCAAATCTCAATCGTAACAGGCTGAAGTCTTACTCAATCTAAATGTAAAATCTCAATTCTTAAACGTACCTTTGATCCAAGTCCTACGTAATAAAATAAAGGTTGAAGTGTTGATTTAGTCCCTGAATTATCATATCAGTGAAAATTAGGCCCCTAAATGATTTTTTTCAATAAATAAGTCCATAAATTCATTAAAAATTGTTAATTTCATCCCTAATATTATATTTAAAGCTATTTTATCTAATTTTTTCGTCAACTTAAATTACGACACACTTTAGAGTATCATACGATCATTTTCTCGCTTATAAGCCCTTAACATTTTATATAGGTTGGTTATCTAATGTTTAATTTACCCTTCAAAGTTAACTCGAAGCACTAATTATTTATGAAAATTACCAATCTACCATCCAATGTGTATCACATGAAAGTAACGTGACTTAAATTGATTGAAAATGAAATATAATAGCTTTAAATATAATATTAAGGATATAATTATTAGATTTTTATAATTCAATGACTGATTCTTTTATAAAAAAAAATAATTTAAAAACTTAATTTTTATTCAAGTGACAATTTAAAGGCTAAATTAACAATGGACCGTAAAATAAAAGGCTGGATTGAAAGTTTGGGACCGGCCTTCAGCAGGCGCTGGCCAAATGATGACTCATTATGAAAAGCACCAGCGACCAAGTGAGAAAACCAACCACCTGCACTTCACCAACCTATAGTCTATATCTATCAGTCGTCAAATATGACATAATGACAGTAAAAAAAGATAGAAAAAATGTTAAGGCTTTCCTAAATCCGGAAAGGGATCCTTTCGAAACATTTTCTCCAAATTCTGTTAATCAAAATTTGGCCTAATGATTAAAATTATTATAATTTTTAAAAGAATTTTATATTTTTAACTATTTGATTAAATTTTAAAAACTCAAATTAGTTGATTTATGAGATTTACTAAAAAGGGTCTAGATATGAGCCTTTTTCCCTAAATCCTAAGATATAGATATCCTGCATCTTACACCAACCCATCCTCATCCCGATCCTCATCATAATTATTACTACTATTATTCAGAAATTATGATTTTCTTGAAATTTTTGGTTCGGAAATTTACCTTCACAGTTCCACACCCATGAATACATGACATGCATAACGGTTACTTCCCTGTCATATATCATTTTTGTCATTAATTGGATGTCATGATCATTTATTTGACCTTTCAATTAGCCTTTTTCTTTTCTTTTTAACTTGCGCCAAAACCTTTTTGGCTACTTTTATGAATTATAATTACCAGTACTTTACCATATAGTGTTTGAAATTTTGAATTCCAACATCACAGAAATTGACTGCTTTGGCTTTTCATTCCGGGTTGAGTATACCTGAGACGGAAAATTACAATACGTACACTTATACTTTATGGGGCGTGGGGGGTAGGGGTATAAATGAAGATATGAAAATAAAAACGCAGTAAGGATGGAATACACCTAAACACACGGGGCAACAACGAAATAATCTGAAAAATTAAAAAAGAGACGTTAGCCCCATATCCCGCCAGGTTTTCCCTGTTTGAGCAATTGAGGAAGGAACATAATTGAACAGTTCACCAGACGCGCAGAGCAGTAAATACCAAATTACCAAGTAAGCCATTCATAGCTATTTAAAATCTGCACACACAAAACCCAAATCAGAAAGAAAAATCAGAGAAATCAGAGAATGTTGGTGGTGCCTTGCAAGTTAAGGAGATTGCTCAACACATTCAATTGAGAAATACTGAGAATTGCGATGGGTTGCGCCGCCTCAAAGTTGGAGAATCTTCCGGCTGTGGCATTGTGCCGAGACCGGTGCAAGTACCTGGAGGAAGCTCTCAGCCAAGCCCAAGTTCTGGCTGATGCCCACGTCGCTTACTTGGCCTCCCTCAGGACCCTTGGCCCCGCTCTCCACCGTTTCTTCCATGACATTCCCGCAGGAAATGAACCGCCGCCGCCACCAGAATCAGACTCGCACCTCCAATTCCCTTCCGACTCCGAATCCGAATCCAAAGAGGACCACACCGTTAAACAGTTGGGTGAAACGCCGACACCAGTTTCTGAGCGTGATCAATATTTCAGGGAAGGGGAGGGGGAGACCTACAAAAATTCAGCCCGCGGACTGACTTCCGAACCCCTTCCTCAGCCACCGCCTCCGCTTAGCTCCGCTTGGGATTTCCTTAGTCTGTTTGATGCCTACGAGAGGGATATTTACCTAGCACCACTTTATTCTTGCACTAATTCGGATCTTGAAGAAGCTGCTCATACTCCTGCACTTGCTGCTGCCGCTGCTGACAAAATCAAAGTCGATAATTGTGGCGGCAATAACGATATCAATGTTAAACACAATACTAAAAATATTGGAGATAATCAGGAAGAGGAGAGTAGGTCAGGAAAGAGTAAGACGACTCATATGGCGACGTCGACGGCAACTCCTCCGTCTGTCTCTGTCTCGGTCCCTGTGCTAGAAGAAACAGAGGCAATGCGAGAGCTTAATCTTCTATTTGACAGGGCGTCTGAGTCCGGGAATCAAGTTTTATTGTCGCTGCAGTCTCATCATCACACGATTTCTCTTGATCAGGGTAATTTATCCATTTCAATTTTCTCAGTCAATTTTTAGTATTATTCCAAATTAATAGATAAAGAATGCATAATTAATTTGACGAATTGGCGTTGGAGAAGCAGAGTATGGATTTGATGACCGTGAGGGCTTGGTGATGAGCTCGCAAAACCTTTCTTACACTCTGAAGACGCTCTTCCTGTGGGAAAAGAAACTTTACCACGAAGTCAAGGTAAATATATGCTTCTTTTTCTTCATTAGCTTTTGCTGATTAATCAAAATTTTAAAGCATAATCTTGACTACTTAATTGTGCTATATATATAATTAGGCTGAGGAAAGATTGCGCGTTACGCACGAGAAGAAGAGTAGAATGCTGAAACATTTAGAACATGGCAACGGCAATACTACTAGTGCTGCTGAGGCTCCCAAACTCAACCCCCTTCGCAGTGCAGTCCGCGATCTTTTAACAAAAATGAAAATTGCAATTCAGATTGTTGACAAAATATCAATTACCATCAACAAGTTGAGGGACGAGGAGCTATGGCCGCAAATTATCGAATTCATCAACAGGTATATCTGTTCTATCCCATCACCGTTGAGGAATATGATCAATTCTACGAAATGGCAAGTGATTAGTGAACTTGTTTTGGTGCTTGTAGGTTACTCGACATGTGGAAAGCTATGGTAGAATGTCACAAGAGTCAGTACCGAGCAATGGTGGAAGCCAAGGGTTTAGATGGCGTTGCAATATCCAAAGCAAAGTTGAGCGGCGCACATAATGCTGAAACTGCAATTCGACTCAAGTTAGAGCTTCAAAACTGGAATGTGTGCTTCTCCAATTGGATTGTCGCCCAAAAGGTGTATGTAAAAGCATTAAATGGATGGGTTCAAAGATGTCTTCTACACGAACCAAATGTAGCCGATCAAGAATTAACAGCAGACGAGGCTATTGGAGCACCGCCCGTTTTTGTGATATGTAATGAGTGGTCACAAGCTATGGATAGACTCTCAGATGAGGAAGTTGTTGAAGCCATCGGGGGATTCACAACTAGTATACATACGCTTTTAATGGAAGGCAACAATATTAATGTAGAAATGGTGCAGCAAAGGATGGTAGCTGAAAACAAAGATGTAGCAAGGAAAGTAAAGTTTTTGGAGGCAGAGGAGGGGAAGGAACAGAAGATACTGCATAAGCTGATGCGCGGTAGAGGAGGAAAAAAGAACGTTGCTTCGAGTAGTTTGCGAGCAGGAGAAGATGAGTCGAACAGAGAGAGACTGCAGCAACCGAGTCGGAGTGACAGGAATATTAATCTAGTGTGGGATTTGAAGCAGACATTGATGGCGATGGAGAAATTCACCGCAAACGCATTGCAAGCATACAATGAGATTCATGCACACATTGAACGACAACAAGTCAGCTGCAGGCAATCCGGATGATGAATTAACAAATAAAAGTGCCAAGTCTTTACTTCTTTTATTTTTTTTTTAAATAAAAAGATCATAGGCCACTTAGCTTTCTTAATGATGAAACTTTGCTCGGCTCCGATCTCAAAAGCGGGAGGTGGTGGAATGGAATGCATATTTTAATACTATAGGCTACCTATGTGGATAATATCGTTTGTTAAAAAAAACTATTAAGAACTGGTTTTTGTATATAATTTTTTTTTTCGTTTTATGCATACTCTTCATTTTCATTTTTTAATAGAATCGATGTGATTTGCATTAAAGAGTAAGAGAGTGAGTCTAACGTCACAATAGACTAGTCATAATAATTTAGTTCAAAATTGCTTTTGGACAAAATCGAATCTAAGAATTTTCTTACAAATAAAAATGAATATCACTAGAAAGTAGTAATAAGTGTCCACTTTTCATTTTCATCATGTATCTTCATTTTTATCCAATAGCTAAATATAATCTAAAAATATGATTTCATTCTTTTTCATTTATAAGTGAGAGGTTATTGTGAAGTTTAGTCATCTCCCGCCCTTTTAGACTACACCCAACCCTGAGATAAAAGCCAAAATAGCCCACTTATTCCCTCCCCAAACACAACCTAACCCAAGCCAAATGCCAAACCAAGGCCGAATACCCCCCAAGATTTAGCCCACAAACGCGTGGACTCGTCCAAAATTACCCCACTCTCGGCCTGTTCACTCGCCCACGCGGCCCGTGAGCTTTCAACGCCCGACAGGGAGGGCCCACTGTCAGGGCCGTTGTTAGCCACTACCCATAGCCCAACGGCTCTTTTCTGCATCCAACGGCTAAAATAATTAAAAAATAATTTATTTAACTCAAAGTTCACCCAAATTTAGTGATTTTTCAATATTTATCAGAATTTAAATATTTTTAGATTAAAATATTCATAAAAATAATTTACGATAGTCTACATAATTTTTTTTTTAAAGTTAATTTAAGAAAAAAAATTAGCCTAAGTTCATTCTTTAGTAATCTCGGGCTAAAATTTTAGGTCAAAATGGTTGGAGCAGAAAAATTGTTTCTGAGCTAAAAGCTAAGTTTTCGAGGCTAAAAACTTTGGCTTTTAGCCCAAAGATTGGAGATGATCTTAGTATAGATAATATCGTTTTTTTTTCTATAGAAATAAAAAATAATCTCCTAACATTTTCGATATATTTGATACCAAATTATTGTTCGATGCTTTTAGCCTAAATCTACTGAAGTGTTAAATATCATGTGTATACAAAAAAAATTAGTGATAAAAGAAAAGAATATTGTTACATTTATCACATTTTTTATGTTACATTGTAAATTGTATCATCTCTCTAATAAATATAGGATAAACCAACAAATATGAATTTTATATTTATTAAAGAGATATTACAAATATGGTATATAAAATCTGCTGAGAGTAGCATTTAAAAAAAAAAAAAAAAAAAAAAAGCACAGAGATGTAAAGAGATAACTACCATAATGCCCTTCATGATTAGAGATGGGCAACGGTTATACCGTTATAGTGGGTGGGTAATCGCGGTTATTTACTTGTAACCGTTTATGTTTATACCCGTATAACCGTTTACCCGTTGGATAATTGCATAAACGGTTATACTCATACCCATAACCATTTATAAACGGTTAACCATACACATAACCATGTACCCATTTAACTATAACCGTTTACTCATTTAACCATAACCATTTACCCTTTTACCCATTTTTGAACCCATTTGTCCTTTTTTCCCCATTTTTTCATCCGTTTACATGTTTTTTTTTAACAACTTGAAAATTACAAAAGAAAAATTTGTCATAATTTTTGTTTTCTGACAATTAAACACCGTTATAGGTATATTTTAGCATACATTTCTCTATTTTAATCATTTAAGTCATCATACAATTCTAATAATTGAAATAATAGTTTACGAGCGATATTTTTCTGCTAGACCCAAGCAAGTCTTTAATTTCAAGACCGATTTCAAATCAAAATTTCAGGAATCCTAAAATAATTTCGGAATTTTAGAACAAATCGGAATCTGTAAATTACTTACTGTAACTCAACCATCGATCCATTCTACAGAAGTTTATCAGGTGGATACCACCATACTAGTAAAATGACAAATACTTTCATCATTCGATAGCATAAAGCACTTTTTTCAGTACATTGCCAGGTAATATACTAGACAACACAAAGCATCAAACTTCTTCCAGCCTTAGAAACATATAAACACGGGAAAAGAAACTATCAGATACGAATTCAACCACAGAACTTCGATGTTAAATTAAATGGGTATAACCAATCCAACGGCCTATAATTTTTTTTAAATTTTTTTACATATATTAAATTAAATGAATAAATAGATATCCGTTATAACCTTGGGTAATACCCATAACCGTCTATTTAAATTTCACGAATAAACGGTTATACTCATACTCGTTTGTTCGTCGAACGGTTACCCATAAATATAATCGTGAACTTTAAATAAACGGGTAATCGCGATTTCCAAATCCATATGTATTTTGCCCATCCCTATTCATGATAAGGAAAGGACAATTCAACCGTCAGACGAATACAGGGAGAGAGGTTTTTGGCGGTGCAGAGGGAGGATGCAAGCAAGCAAATTAGCAATGCGAAGGAAAAGAAAGCTGCAGCTCGCAAACACTCCTCCTCATTAGAATTTACAAATACAAAATTCCATGCATCTTTCTCCGTATTTTCCAGAATTTTGACCCAATTTCCTCTCCCTCGGCAGTCCGCATATATTTTATTATTACTATACGCACGTACATGTTTTTAAACCAAGAGCTGGCTGAGGCGCGGCACTGAGTCAACTCAGCTGAGTTATGGGGTGCTGCGAGTCGTCTTTTATACATGCACGCCAACACCAGCACCACCCCTTGAACACCTTCAGCTCCACCGCCACCGCCACCGCCACAACCACCAACCGCGTTCCTCAACCGTCCAACGGTGGAACCGATGCCGCCGGAGCTGGAGCAGTGCCGGGATTTTCGGAATTCTCGCTGGCTGACTTGAAAAGCGCCACAAATAACTTCAGCTCCGACTTCATCGTCTCCGAGAGCGGCGAGAAAGCCCCCAATGTCGTCTACAAGGGACGCCTCCAGAACCAAAATAACCGTCGTTGGATTGCCGTCAAGAAATTTTCCAAATTGGCCTGGCCTGACCCCAAGCAATTCGCCGTATATAATCACTCTCTCTCTCTTCTTCTCCATTCATTATTTATTTTTATTATTATTATAATCCCTCTATTAGGGAATTTTTGGGAATTGTGGTTAGGGTTTCCATTTCCAATTGAATTGAGAAATTTGAACTTTGGGGCAACAGGATGAAGCTTGGGGCGTTGGGAAGCTGAGGCACAAAAGGCTTGCCAATTTGATAGGGTATTGCTGCGACGGCGACGAAAGGCTGCTGGTGGCGGAGTACATGCCTAATGATACCCTTGCCAAACATCTCTTCCACTGTATGTGCCTCTTAACTTTGTCAATGATTTTGTTTCTCATACAATCCTTGGCTTTTCTTTTCTGCACGAGAAATGAGAACATGTTTGACACATTGCTTGAAATATGAGGAGGAACACCCTCTATTTTAAAGTTGCACTGCATTTCAACGAATACGAATTGGTTGCATCCACTGTCCACCGTCGATATGTAATGTGAAAAGCCATGCAATTGAAACTTCAAACTTTTCAATATATATTTGTTGACAGTTCTGCAAAGATATAACTCTCTCTTCTTTTACATAAGATATTGGTTTATGGGTCATTCCTCGCTTTTAAGAATGCATTTGTTCTGCTTGAGCATAATATTGTAATCTCAAACCACTCTCACGAAGCTGATTCATTATCTACACGTGTGCTATTTTCATTTCAAATTGTGACTGCTATTTTGCTTTTCCCATTCTCATATTCTTGACAACTGACGTCTGAAATTTATTGCCTATAGCTTTTCAAAGTGGTTCAGGGTTCCGATATAAATTCATCTCACACTTTCTTGACAGGGGAGAATCAGACCATTGAGTGGGCTATGCGACTAAGAGTTGCTCTGAACATTGCCGAAGCATTGGATTACTGCAGTAGTGAAGGCCGCCCATTGTACCACGACTTAAATGCATATAGGGTTCTCTTTGATGAGGTGCTGTCTCAATTTTCCTTTCCCAAGTTTGTTTATTTAGTTTTTCAGTTTTTACAAGAAGTGAGATAATTTTAATCACGTATCATTGTGGCCCTTTTTTGATAAGTAGACATATTTCTTTCTGTGTTAAGATTTTTTATATGATAACTACATGGATTTGTATGAGATCAGAGTGGTAATTTTGTGGATGTTGTTGGCAGAATGGTGATCCTCGGCTTTCATGTTTTGGATTGATGAAAAATAGCAGGGATGGAAAAAGTTACAGCACTAATCTTGCGTACACACCTCCTGAATATCTAAGAAATGGTAATTGCTTATTTTCCTTAAATCATATTATTATTTATTATACCACTTTTTATACACCTTAGGGAGGTATAAACTGAACTATGGCCGAGTCAATGAGTAAGATAGTATGAGTCAGGAGTTATATTTTACAATCTGCTGGACTCAATGAAGTCTTTGACAAGTGCCTTCCATACCAACTATAATACATTGATGCTGCAGGAAGGGTGACTCCAGAAAGTGTTATCTTCAGCTTTGGGACTGTCCTTTTGGATCTTCTAAGTGGAAAACACATCCCTCCTGGTCATGTAAGTATTTACTGCGCCAGGCACTTGTTCTCCAGTCAGTCGGTTTGGAATGGACCCATAATCTAATAGTTAAAATGCAGTGCTACTGCTATTTGAGTTATGCAGAAGTCCAGATTCTGTATGATCACAGAAGAGTTGTTTGTTAAAGTGGCTCTTGCTTGTATGTGTTTAGTACTCGGCATTAGGGAAACCCTTGTTTTTAGCGAGGTGTGGTAGTAAAATATAGTTGCATATACTCAAAAAACGTTTTGCACACTTAAGTTGCCTTTTCTTGTAATGATTATTTATTATGTACTAAGATTAATTGATACTGAATTTCCGATAGTTTGGTTGTGATTGATCGCAAGACACTGATGTTGAAGACCAGCTTCTAGCTTGGATCATAGTTTTATACTTTTATTCTTCTATTCGTCTGATTTTGCCCGGACAATCTCTTAGTATAATTACGTAGGCAGGTTTTGATAAACAGAATCTCCTTATAATTGAT